GGGTTTAGGGATTAAGGTTAAGGGATTAGATTTTAGGATTAGGTTTTAGGGATTGGGGTTTAGGAATGCGGGCTTAGGATTCAGGCTGGAGTGGGTGGCTTGTACAACCTGCGCTTTCCTTGAGCGCCCTTGCGCAGATGATGAGCGGGCCACCTTCGTGCCCCAAGACGAGCTGCGGTACTTCATCCCGCAGGCACGCGATCGACTGGGCACAGCATGCATCAACCGTTAAACCCTTGTGATTCTAGATTTGCTGTGGCTGACAGCAAGCAGCTGGCCAGTTGAATTCCTTTAGTGACTTCAGTGATACTCCTTGCTTTGTGTCCGGCAGGAAGGCAGGATCACGCAGCTACGGCAGCAGGCTGAAACCGTAGAGGCCGAGTTCAAGCCTGACGAGGAGGATGAAGGCCATCCCACCTGATGGGCTTAGGATGTTGTGGCCACAAATGGGGATTTTCCAAAATTGGTGTTCCCTTTTGGGGGCCGCAATAAGAGGGATTATAGCATGTTTGAGTCTATACTGCGCAGGGAGATTTCCCAGGAATCCAAGGCCTCAAGGTGATTCATTCTGTGGGAAGCAATGCCAGGCAACCTGATTTCCTCATATAGCCTTTGGCCCCCCATTTTTGTGGACATGCAGCTCCCTAACTCAGGCCAAGCAGACGAAAACCAAGCCGGCGATGATATGCCCAACGCGACATCGCTGTCCGAGCTTGGTGGGGAGGCCCCCCTCTGTTGCATTGCTAAGAACATGCTCGACGGGAGTTGCTCCGTGCTTGTGTCAGTTATAAATGCAACATACTTTGATATGGATGGGAGGCCTCTGAGAAATTTTCCAGCAAGTCAGAATACGTGAGAAGTTCAGTATGTATCTCTAGCTAGATCATGTGTTCAAGCTGGCCCTTTCCTGCAGGAAGAGGCTCTGAAGTGTGTCCATGGCGGCTTGGCATGCACAAAAGCCGGTGAGGCATGTTGAGGCAGCAGGTAATTTTTTCCGAGTAGTTATAGAACAGAAGGCCACAACTAGCGACAATACTTGCAATTCCCCAAGCAGTGCGCTAAAACTAGATTGTGAACGTCCCGTCCAGCGTAACGAGGATTGCTTGGTGTAGCTGCGCGGTTGGTTCTCAACGTTAGAGCCACATCGCGTCGGCAGCTTCGTTTGGGGAACTGTTTCTTCTTTTGCATATCCAACCTCATTTCCGACATCCTAAAGACTCGAAACCCTGAGTCTGAACTTCTCAGCTAGGTCGCAAGCTTCGCTATCACTGCCAATGTGAGCCCTGTTGGTCGGGTGTCAGCTGCGACAAGAAGATGAACCGCGGCCCTGACGTCCGACAGGCCTGGCATATGTCTAAACTCCTGATATGGGGGTTGTATAGAGTTTAGGATTTAGGGTCTAAGCTCCTCAAATGGAGTTATATAAGGTTTAGGAAAGTTTAGGGTTTTTTTGGTTAGGGTCTGAAATCCTTTTAAACGGGGGATATAGAGAAGGATCATATAGGGCTACAGGGGTTGGTAAAGGGGATACTAGCTTTCTAGATCATGGCTCGTATGAGCTACGGACTAAATTTAGGTTGTGGAGGGACCTACATGGGATTTACAGTGAGTATAGGGGGACCCTTAAGGAATATGCTAGAGCTGTAGTCCAGGGGTCATACAGTCCCATATGGGGGTATATGGAGATCTCAGTACGGTCTTGAACTTGCGGGGCATTATAGGCCGGCTTTGGTTGCAGAGCATTTAGGGCTTAGAAGGGTTACTGAATCCCAACTGACTGCCCCTAAGCCCTAAGCCCTAAACCCTAAACCCTAAGCCCTAAACCCTAAGCCCTAAGCCCTAAACCCAAAGCCCCTGAAGGAATTTGAGCCTTTGGTGGCTCAGCGGGCGGCCGGAGCACAGCAGGCCCTGCGCAAGTCCCAGTGATCTGCAAAAATTGCTATCCAGGATTTAGGGTTTTTAGGGCTAGGTAAGGCTTAGGGGTGTAAGTTTTGTATATATATATATGTAAATGAGCTATAGTTTAAACTCCTTACAGGGGATTATGTAGGGGCTTCCATACGGGAGTATTTTAGGGTATATGGATGGGGATACTATGAGTTTAGATTATAGCTCATATGGAGTTGTATTGTTTTTCATAGAGTTAAAAGGTAAGGGTTGGGGACCGGGAGTATTACCCCAGCAATGGGGAATCAAATGGAAAAGGACATGGACACTGGAATTACACACGATGTAGGGGGTCGAGCAGCTTGTAAGTTGCTGGGTTTTGGTGGTAGAGTTTAGAGTTTTTGGGGCAGACCTTTGATCGGATGTTCCAGTTTCGGACTGCACTTGGGGTCTGTCTTTGGATGCTGGGTTTTTGAATTTCTCCAACATGCACAAAGGGCTTAGGGGGCGAATTCCTCTGCACAAAACGAGCCAATCGGACCCAAGGCGTCCCTTCACCAGCAAAAGACGCATAGCAAGGGCACAAGAGAATCCACTTCGAATGCATGCCAACCCAGAGCCCGAAGTCTAAGGTCCTTGTCCTTAACAGGCTATGCAAGAGGAGTAGTTACAAGGATCCCAAAGTATGGGCTTTTACAAAAACATTCCGCCAGCTTCGCAAGTGTCCTGCGCTGCTCATTGTCAAAGCCCTAGTCTCCTAACTCTAAGCCCTACTTGGAGGGTCAAGGCGGGGACTTTGTCAGGCGGGATAACTAGGGTTGGGCTGATTAACCTAAGTGCGCCTGACTCTCCGAGAACCCTGGACCCTAAATCCCTACGCATCCCCCTGTTTGACCCCGCTTTCACCCCCATAAGGCCCTTAAAGGGCCCTTCTCATAGGAGCTGGCAGTGCAAGGCTGCAACTCGGCGTTATCATGCAGCGCTCCCCATGTGATGGGGACGATGGCGGGAGGGTTTCCCGAACGAGTAGTACCATAGTTGCTAGGGTTTAGGATTTAAGACTTGGAGAAAAGTTGAATTTGTTGGGTGATACAGCAAAAGTGGAGAATCACATGGAGGAGAATATGGAACATGACATGGAAACGCAGCTAATATGGTGTGTCTTGCCTAGACAAGTAGCATTGTATTTGAAGGTATTACGTAGTACCACTAGGGAGCAACATTACACCCTCCTTGTGACTATGGTATTTGATAGAGCGTAATCTTACTGAGTTCGACCACCCAAAAACCAGTACTCAAATAGGGACTCGGGTTTGGGATGGCCTTACTTGTGGACGCAAGGCATACAATGGGGGGAGGATTCTCGTCTTTATCTCGGCTTGGAGTACTCCAGGGTGATTCCAAGGAGTCCCCTGGAATTCTGGGCATTGTGGGTCCCTTCTGTTGGGGTGTGTGAATTAATTTGGGGTTGGGATTGTTGGGTTTAAGATCCTCGCATTATCCGACGCGGTTGCACTACTTAAGCAAACCCTCCTGGAAGTTTCCCTGGATCGCAACCCTTTTGGTAGACTTCCTGAGGCAATTTCCATGCTGGGTTAGCTGAATATTTGCTAACTTGTAGTATCGCCCTTGGCTTGAGTATTAGTGTGGCAGAGACAGCCCCCAAACTACAGCTTAAGAGCCCCTAAACAGCTTCCCAAACCTTGTAAAAGAGCATGCCATGGGTTTGGATCATCTTTTCATAGCGCTATGGTCTACACTCCTTAAACGGGGGGTCATATAGGGGATTATGTAGGGGAGTATTACAAGCCTAAGGTATAGGGGGTATCAAGGGGGAGACTAGGAGTTGGTTCAGAGTTTTGGGTTTGGAGTCTCGAATGTCATCCTGACAGGAGGCGTGGACCCGTTTACACGATGGCCTGGAATTTCCTAGGAATGGCCCGCTGGTAGTTTTCAGCTCCAGGGGGATCCCTTTCCCTTGACCGTAGGCCCTCAAATCCTAAGCCATAAGCCTAAATCCGAAACCCTTAAGTGTACATATATAGGGTATATCGTAGGTACACAAGGATCCCAGTCCCAGGGTAAAGGGTCCATAGCAGGGCCCCATGGTTTTAACCTTGGCGCCTCTGCGCCCCCAAGTCGAACTGAGGCCAGCTACATACAGATCTGCGCTACCAGCTCCTCAGCCGCACCCTTTCAACAAACCTCTCAAGAAACTGCAGTCTTTTTGCAACGAAGCCTCCAAAATGGACCACTCCAATATGCTCGTTTCAATCCCCTAGACACTGCTTCCAGATGTGAAGCACGAAGGTCCTTAAACCTAGAATGATAGAAGCACGGGCTCAAGCCAGACCGTTTTCACTGTCACATTTCAGCGTGCCCGTGGATAAGATCAATGCGGGTGTAATCCTAAGGTGGAGGGTTTTAGGTCTCTTGGCATGACAAGCTTTGTGCTTCTTTGTTCTTTCGAGGCTGGCGCGCATCACCCTGATTCCGATCGGTGAGTCTTCAGAGGCGGGTTCTGGCAGAATTCGAGAACTCTCTTCCAATTTCTTGAAAAGACTACTTCTGAATTATGTTATAACATCGTGTTATAGCAATGTTTCACCACATGTGGTTGATATCGTGTAGATATCATGCGTTGTCAGAGGCGGGTCAACCATTCCAGTCTGCATTTTTCAGTAGGACAACTTGTTAGGCAAGCTCAGAAGTCGGCGGACCGCACTTTGGCCCCATGTCTTGGCTTCTTCCCTGGCTCAAAGGTTCGAAGTTTCGGGTCTGCTCTTACAAGCGTCCCATGGTGAGCTCACTTCCCATCATCCAACAGTCCAGCAGGGGCCATGTCGGCGCCTCAACAGAGGCTGATTCTGAAAGCTGTGCGCGGGGCCGTCGGCTGGCCGTTTGGGGTTGGGGGCCTCAGGATTCTGGTAACCGTGGCCACGCCCTACCTGCTGGTGATAGGTAGCGCGCGCCTGGTGACTTCGGAGTGGTTTCTCCATTTTGAATATACTCGCGCGGGATTTCCGAGAGAACCCTATGGCATGACCCCGGGAGAGCGGAAGCAATACGGGGTCTATTGCATCCGCTACATGACCAACAACGAGGGGGTGGACTACCTCGGAAACTTGACGCTCCCCTTTGAACTCTGCCTTGAGCCCGGCATGCCGCCACCTGGTAAGCGTCCGCCTGACCAAAAGCCAGGGGAGCCCTGTCGTATGTTTAAGGATCGAGAGCTGATGCATATGCAGGACGTCAAGGCCGTCTCTGGTGCGCTCTTTACGTGGTTTTGGGGGCTTGGAATCCTCACCATGCTCAGTGCATACCTTCTGTTTCTTGTGGATCCGAAGCAGGTGTGCTGTGCCCTGCTTCGAGGGAGCCAGGCAACCTTAGGCATCATGTTGGCCATCAGTTGCTTTGCTGTAGTTGGATTTGCGAGGCTCTTCCGTCTGTTCCACAAGCTCTTCTTTACGGGCGCGTCCTGGATTTTCTCGAAGTGGGACACGCTGATTCGCCTGTACCCACGTCAGTTCTGGTTGGATGCCACGCTGACCATCGCCTTCCTTACCCTCAGCTCCGCACTGTTCATCCTCTGCCTGGTGCGGCAGCCGCACCAGAAAAAGAAGATCGATCACTGCGAGATCTGATGCAAAGTGTGCGCTTTTCAATATTGAGGCCCAGGAAGTCTCAGATGCTAGACTTTGGCCTTTCATCCTGAGCTGCGTGCTGGAAGAATCACTACGCAGGTCCGACAACTGGAGATTATGTACGAAGCCAGCCATAACTACCCCCCCTCATGGTGCGAGAGGACACGATGGCCGCTGAGTTGCGAGCCCTTCTGCGAGACCCCGGGCCTCGTCTTCCTTGGGCTCTGCTCTGTGGGCTGAAAGTTGGAGCGCTCTGAGATCGTATGGATTCCCAGGGGCGCCTGTGACTGGAAGAACCCTTTGCATTCATAGTGTTTCCTGTGTATTCATGGACTTGAACTGCACTTGCTGCACGAAAAAGACCAGCGCGCATGACTTGCAGAAGCTGCCAGTAGACATCTTGTCCCACAGGGGAGGAAGAAGCCCGAAGACCTGTGCAAGAAGCCGCAAGGAAGTCGCTCGCTTGAATTCTTGAGGCCGTTCCTTCGCGTGTCTGCGCCTAGATAAAGTTTGCGTCTTTTGGGAGTACCAAACGTTTGTGCGATGGTGAGCGGAGAAGCAGCCAAGGCTACAGCAACTCGTTGCGCCTACGGATCCCGGAATTGGTACCTGGAAGTAAATAGTGAAGCTGCATGCAATGTCAAACAGGAATCACCTGGCCTCAGTTACGTTTTGCGTTTTGCAGCCCACTGAACCTCCGTAAGGTTTCGCCCAGGGAATACCTTTACCTCATCGATATTCCTGTCGGTACCGCTCTTAGATGGCAGCGCTTGCTTTTACCCATGCGGTGTGTTCTCCGTGTTGGCCCTTAGGTGCGGTGGCAAAGTATGAAGTTTGCATTTTGGCTGGCACTGGTGCTAGCGGCAGCTAGCGTTGACAAGTCCACACATACAGAGCACTTCAAGACTGGGGCTTGTAATCCCTAAGCCCTATGCCCCAACATGGGTGACCCAGAAGACGTTTCAAACCCTAAACCCTAAACCAGCCAAGGCTACTGCTATGGTGTAGATTGCATGGACAACCGCCTGGACTGGCAAACAGAGGAGATTAAGGGCTTCAGGGTTGTAAGGCTAGGATTCAGGGTTTAGTGTGACTAGGGTTGTATCCCTGTTCTTTGAGAGAGCCCCAGAAGACTACATTAGTTCTTATGATGGGTTGTATGCGGATCATATCGGGGGAATCGTTTAGGGGTACAGCCACTCAACCCCTACACCCTAAACCCCTCAAAACCCTAAACCATAAACCCCTAAACCCTAAACCCCTCAACCCCCAAAAAACCCTCAACCCTAGACCCCTATAAACCCCAAATCCCCTAAACCCTAAATCTTAAACCCCTCAACACTAAACCACAAACCCTTAAACCCTAAACCTCTAAACCCGAAACACCTAAACACTATAAACCCTAAACCCCTAAACCCTAAACCTTCCTCTGAACTCCAGGGCCAACGTGCCACACTCTAAACGCTAAGCCCCAAATGCTAAAGATGTAGGATTCAGGATTTAGGGTTCAGGTTTTAGGGTTTAGGTTTTTGGTTTTTAAAGTTTTGGGGCTTACCTACCCAAAAAGGTACGTGAAGGTCCAGGTGAGCCCTGAAACCTAAACTCTGCAAGTCCCACCCCCCCCCCAACAAAACAAACAGTCTAGCAGAACCTAGCCCCTACTTAGTAGGTGCCAGCCACAAAATTGAAATTGTAAGCAATTGCAGTCACGCATATAGAAACTCTAAGCAAGGTTGAAGCACAGCGGCAGACTTGCGGAAAGTGAAGTTCAGACGCGACCTGCACAACAGCTTCTTTGCTTCTGATGTAGGAGCTTCAAAGTTCTCAATTCTGGCTCCGGGTTTCGAGCTTAAGGTGTAGAATTTAGGATTCATGGGGTTTAGGGTTTCGGATTTAAAGGGTTTAGGGTTTAGGATTTATGGGGTTTAGGGCTTAGGGCTTACAATGCGTGTTTACCTCGATCCTGAATGCCACTGCTTGTTTGGTTTTCGTCCTTCTTTCTTGTAGGATCTATCCTGAGGCAAGTAGGACATCCAGGGTACAGGCAGACTTTCGGGTTTAGGTTGTGGTTTGGCAAGGCAAGACCAAGCAGCGTAGGGTTAAGGTTGGTACTGCCCCCACCCTGTAAAAGTCTATATTAGGGGTCATATAAAGGGGTATATCTAACTATATTTTCTAAATTCCTAGCATCCTCCTTAATAAGCCCTATAATACTCCCCCATATCGTCCCCATGTATAACCCCGCAATAGACTTCAACTCAACAACAATCTGAATCACACCTTCACTTCCACATACTACATGCGGCTAGACCTCCCAACCATACTACTTGTTGGGATTTAGTAGGGAATAACAGGCTAGTATAGTCTTTATTTTAGGGTTTAAAGGTTTAGAATAGAATGCCTATATAACATATTCCCTCATTCCCTGCCCTACTGAGACCCAGTAAGACAAGGACTGCATAGTGTCTCGGGCAGCTTCATTTGGCAGTTTGAAGGTCTTCTGAGCAGCTCCAAGTACCTATATGTGATGAACCTGGACCCAACAGTACTTCCATAGGAACCCATCAAGCACCCCAGGAGTTGCATCCCATACAACTATCTGTAGTCTTTGACCCTACCTGAACTCTCAAGGTATGTAGAACAATGGCCTATTGGGCTATTTTCAAGGCTTTTGGGCTAATATTTTACCTACTTTGGGGTTCAGGTACCTGTAGCCTTTGACCCTAAACCCTGAACCCCTAAACCCTGAACCCGAGGTTTGTGAACTTGGCTTTCCCAGCCTCCCGCCAATCGCATGCGCCTTGAGGCCATTATCTTTGGGCACCTGTCGGGCGATGGCTTTAGGGTTTTGGGATTTAGGGTTTAGGGGCTTAGGGGTTTAGGGTTTAGGATGAGGGGTGAGGGGTTTAACCGTTTCAGGGTTTCTTGGGGTTTAGAGTTTAGGGTCTACGTATACGGCTTAGGGGAATCTGACTCTACTAACGGAGAATTGAATGCAAGGCAACATGCAAAATACAGAACAAAACTAGTTTCGGTTTGTCAGCTAGGGCCCGACCACCCGGATCGACTGCCCGTTCAGCTTGCAACTCTGTTTAGGGTTTAGGATTTAGGATTTAGGCATGAGGGTTTAGGCTTTAGGTCTTAGGGTCATGGGGATTACGGGCTCTGAGCCCTAAAGGCGTCTTTGATGCTGCGGTCCTTTCTTTTAATTCGGAGGTGCGTGCGTATGTCAAACCCTAGCTAAACATAAACCGTATATCTAAGAACCCGGAATTTCAATCTTCAAAGCAGCAGATACTACTTTAAGAATATTTGATAGGCCAACGGGTTGCTGGCAATTATCGTGAACGGCTTAGCGCCTGTTTTACGTACTGTGGTCAAAAGGCTGGTTGCCCTAAACCATAGAGGCCCTAGACTTTAGACCCTAAACCCCTTCACGGCAAATTCCGAGCATGGTGAGTCCTACACGTCGCAACTGCACACCGAATGAACTAAACCAGAACAAAAGTTAGTTCAATGTGAGCCATAGTCTAAACTCCAAGTATCCCCCTTAATAATCCCTATAGTCCTCACCTATTTAATCCCCTATATAACCCCCTCCAAGAAGTTCAGACTATAGCTCATGCGAGAACTACAGGTTTTCTACCTGGCGATGACCTCCAGAATCTTCTCACCCACTCCCTGCTGCACAGGCCTCATGACGCCAGAACTCCTGGAAGCCTTCCCAGCAAACCTCAGTTGAAGTGGTGTGTACAAAAAAGATGTGGGCCCCCTTTTCAAAGGGCTCAAAAGGTGGGATGAAGGAAGGTGGGGTACAGGAAATGCTCCCCAAGAAAGTAGAGTATGTACTAGGGATCCTGTAGCCCATCTACCTTCATCCCAGCTGGACCTTTTGAGCCCCCTGATTTGTTTGATTTAGAGTTTAAGGTTGTGTAGTTTAGAATGAGCTGCTTAAATCCACATACCCAGGAATCTATTCACATCATGGCATGTAAGGAGACCCGAAACTCAAGAATGATTGGAGTGGTTGAAGTACCGTGGTGCTAGCCATTCTTGGAGGGTCAGGGGGACTTAGTAACCACGTAGGTTAATGATGGGGATAATTGAGGTTACTATATGGGTCCTGGGGTTTATTAGCCTACTTACTAAGTCCCCCTGACCCCTCATTCTCGTCCCCCTCCTACTTGCGCCACTCCCGCAGATTCTGCTTCCACTGCACATGCTATAGGGCTATGTAGGGATTATATAGAGATGATATAGGGTTATATAGGCCTTCAGAAGGAGAATGAAAAAGAAAATGGAAGCTACTATTTAGGGTTTAGGGTTTATGTTCTTTTCCCACGGGCTCCGTAGCTATCGGAATGGCTTACAAAGGTGACAAAGTCCTTATTACATGCGCCATGGCTGATGGCTCCTGCTTGTGGGATCTACAGGAAGAAGTCAATGAGGTCTACTGCGTGGCCCTCGAAATCTTGACTTATTGGGAGTCAGTAGGGAAATGTAGGGAATATGGGATTACATTGCATGAGGATTGTATAGGGATGGAATTCCCTTATTCCCTACTAAGAACCAGGAAGTTGAGCAATCATGGCGGCTTAGGGTCTGATTCTTCTAAAGCAAGCGAGCCCTATAAATGGGTTGATCAAATACAGGTCCCCTCAAACAGATGAGGGAAAAGGGTGTTATAAGTAGCAGCTTCTACGTGGGTTCAAGAATAAAACCCCAAAGCCTTACACGGCCAAGGAACAAGCAGGCTGTTGTGAGGAAGCCTGATGCTGAAGGAAGTGATGCGACCTCGCACAATGAGAGAAGCGTTTGGGTTGATGGCTGGCATTTCCGGGGCTGGGGCAGTAGACAACCATTAATATGGACTGTCTATTTCTTGACTTTATATGGGCTGCAATGCAGAAGTCAAGCTGTTCCCAGGGACCTAGCTTTCTCAAGATCGCACTGTGAAAGTCTTTCACACTTGGGAAGAGCAGGGGCGCTCTTCCAATTTT